GTTTTCCATTAAAATCGATTATTATCCCTGGAACTGCGGTTCGGGAACTCCATGGAACTCTGTCGATGCTTAAACAATCCATCGCAACAGAATATAAAATGTTTTCTGGCTAGGTTTAGCGCGCAAATAGAATATGATTGTTGCCTTTAATTTTCTACTTTCTGATTCTTTCATCTTTCCACCAAAATGCGTGAAAACTGCCCGCCAAAAAGTGATCACTTCATTTATTTGGTTTTTTTTTACATTGAATGTCTAGTGCAGACCAGTCGTCTCTGTCATTACCTAGTTTTAACAGCTTGCTTTTACAGTCTACAATTTTCAGTACAAGAGTGCAGGAAAAACAAGAGTTCCAAATTAACTTCAAAACAAAATCATTTGGATTTTGAAGAAAGCGTACAGCCGTAAAAACTAAGTCACTAATCAGAAAATCCAAGAGAGTGATAGCTCCTTATCCGCGCGCTAAAAATTGTATGCGCAAAAATTAAAATTTTCCGACAGAGTTTCTGTAATTGCTTCTGGCATCAATCAAAACAAATGAAATACTCCGTTAAACTGGCGTACTAAATTTTACAAGGAGAACTCTTCCAACAATAATTATCAAAACTGACTGCCGAATTGGTTTTTTAAAAATTCAAAGAAATCAAAATTAAATCCAATGAAAAATTGAAACCTGGCTAAAATTATTCCGGAAACGGTATTTTTTCTTGCAATCTGTAAAAACTTTTTATTTCTTGGCAGATTTGCACTTTGGTACTTTTGGAACGTTCTTCGCGGAAAAACCCCTTCGAACCTTATTGAGTTCAAATATCTAACTTAGAGTGATCAGATTACATTAAAGAGGAAATTTTCCAATTCATTAACATTAGTTAAATAATTAATTGAATACTCGGAGACATAACAGGCGCAAAAATAAGCTCAAATACTGAAAGATGCATTTGTTTTTACCTTTCAATTTATGCTATATAGGAAACTTGAATAGCCGGCCGTTGTCGAAGAAAAAAATATATTCCTAAAATCTTCGCTGACAAAACGAAAAAAGCTGATAAATTATCAGGATATAAAAACCAGGTTGCAATTAACGATCTAGATATCACGATATCACTTCCCGTCAAAGAACAGAAACATTTTTCTTTTCCCGTATCAGTCGTCTACATCTGCTTCACTTGTGTGACACCGTTTCAAGAGACCTAATTTCGGCAGAGCGACAATTCGTAAAAGGCGAAAATTCGTAACAGGTGACAATTCGTAACAGCAGACAATTTGTAACATACGACAATTCGTAACAGATCATTCGCAAGTAGAATAGCCTTGTTTCGCTTCAATCCGCTGCGGTAACATCCTGAGGCATTCTGCACATGAATTAGTGTTCCCCGATTGATCTACAGTTACGTATTATCGCATGTTAGGAATTGTTTCCTGTTACGCTTAATTTGTAATTAAGCAAGAGTGACAGAGCCTATAAAAAACAAAGTTTCACTCTGAAATTTTCGAATCCTGTGATGAGTGAAAACTCGCGAATGGACCTCTCTTTAGCCTATATAAAGTTTATGACAACATGATAATCAAACTGGTCGCTCATTTGCTACTAACAACCCCGAACAGTCACGTAGGTGAACATTTAAAAATTTTGGGGTGGAGCACTTAGATTTTTAAAACTTTTTTCCAGTAATTACTCTATCGTGGTGCTCTTTTTGATGCTCGCTGTTAAAAAGTTTTCACGTGCATAAAATTTTTTGGTTAAATTTGGTCTTTATTACTGCTCCAAGCAAGCTTATGATTTACAGAAGTAAGTAATTTTTGTTTTCGATTTTCAAAGACAAGCTGTAGCAGAATATCAGGCCTTTCTTATCCCTAGAGAGTGCATTTTTACACAGAGGTGACATAGAATTTCGTACTATTTACGACACAAAACGAATATAGCATGAACAATAAGTGGACATAAAAAGAATTAAAACGAAAAATTTCGACGAAAATGAAAATTGTGGAAACCTTTCTATTTTCGGCTTTTTTCATTTTTTGAAAACAATTTTTGGTTCATTTCATGCCCATTTACTTTTAACGCTGTCCAAAAAAATGAGAAAAATAAAACTACAGCAGTTTTCATTATTGTCGCAACTTATCTTGAATGAAGTTTCTTCTGAGAAAAACATTAAATACGCATACCAAAAACGATTTACAAGGCTGTCACAAAGCCGAAAATTCATGCACAGACGTTGAGCTAAAAAAAACTTGAATCTCGAAAAAACTCCCCTCCGTCAAATCACACCCATACTCAAAAACATTATTCGCTCATACGACGCAGCATGAACCCACAAAGCAGATATAAGATAGACCGAAACCTTTGAAGCCTATTAAAAAAGGAAAAAAAGAGAAAACTAAAAAATTTAACAAATTGGGTTTGCTAAATTTACGACCAAAATAAGACAAATTTCGAATAACAAGCATTTAAAATCCAAAGTGCTCAAAATATGTCTGTTGATTGTCGAAAATACAGTCTGGAAGAACAACTATTATTTACAGGAGAAAATTCTTGTAACCGGCAGCAAAACCCTTTCTTATCGCAAGGGCAATTATATTCATGGAAAGAAAACTAAGCTTCCTTGCAGTTATAATTTAAAATTAAATTCATTTGCTAGTGAAAGCAAAAAAGAACAGTAACCAAAAAATACGCGCCAAAAAAACGTGACAAAAAACTGTCCAAAAAGCTGTCCAAAAATTTTGGCCATTTAGTGCTTTGGTAAAGCTCGGAAATCTATTTGGTCGATCTAAAAAAATGAACAAAACTATTCAGCTTGTCTAATAAAATTCCGTTTATTAAGTTATCCCATTTTATGGGCATTTATTTTGAAGAGCGAAGCTTTTTTGCTAATCAAGTCGTTTTTTTGTGCCAAGAACATTCACTGCGAACAAAAGCTATGTCAACCCTGAAGGCAGATAGCAAAAGAGAACTCGTCCTCGCCTATTTCATTTGAATTATTGGATCTAGTAAGCGGTCTGATGATACCACAGCGAACGCTTTAAAGCTGTGCTCTGGTGATTTCCTCTGAACGGGAATAATAGAAAGCGATAGATGCCGGAATTTGACTGATTCGCTACACCTTGCGAGCTATCTTTTTCATTGAAAAAACGCAAGATGTTATTTTTATAGAATATCTTTGACAATATTTTTTACATATAGAACAATTTTTGATAAATTTTCAATAATTCTACGAACAAAAGAAGACGACATTTTCATTGAAACAATCATGACTGCAACTAGATTCATAAAGCTTTTCTCCAATTTTGAATAGATATATTATATTTTTGTGAAACTAAAACTAAACTGCAATAATTTACAATCCAAATATAATTTTGCACATTACTGCAAATTACGAGGATAATTTTTGATGAATTTTGTCAAACACTGCATTTTTCGCTGGAACAGCCCAAAAATTTAGATTCTGCTATTTTTTCCAGATCGTTTACGGAAAGTTTTCCTTCAACGTCCAGTTCTTTGTTTGCACTATTATTCAGCAGCTCTTCAAGTGCTGAAAACTTCTTTTGTTCATTTTCGTTCATATTTTTCTTTTCGGTTTCTTGTTTTTTATTAGATATTGAGATTGGTTTGTTAGTTTCGCAAGGCTTTTGAGTGTTTGATGATTTTTCATCATCATCTGTCAAAGGACACTCGTCGTCGCTTTCCTGTTCTAGAATGCTTTCATCTTCTGGATGCAGAACTCGCTTTTCTTTAGTCCTTCGGTTTTGAAACCACACTTTCACCTAAACAATCATAACTTCAGTTAGAAAACAATTTCTCCATGTGATGAAAGGGCCAATATACGAGGTATTGAGTTCTTGACAAAGAAGCACTCTTGTGTCCGTGCTAAGACACATGTATTTTTGAATAAAATTGCCTCTCCTGCGCAGGCAACGAGCGCGGACCTCTTTGCGGACCTCGATTCACCGATGTGTCGACTGAGAGGCGGAGACTTAAAACTTTGCCACAACTAAGCTCCCTTATAGAACGTTTGGAAACGAATTAAGTTTCGTTCTCAAATGACAAACTCTCGACTTAAAATACGTGCTTTGCAGCTTTTTCGATGTAAAGACCTTGATGTAAATCTGATTTAACGTCTTTTTTTTTACTGATACTTAAAACTAGAAACGATGTCAGGCGACAATTGGGCGAAAGTTACTCCTCGAACTTAATTGAAAAACCGATTCACACAAGTGAAGATCGCGAATTGTTATAGAGAGTTGCAAAAAGTTCGGACAGACAGAAATAATTAAAAAGAGCAATCTGCCAATTTTGAGCAATTTTTGCATGCATATTTGAATTTTCAGGTGACATTGAGACATACTTTCTGTCTGAAAAATTAGCTTTTGCATGTAAAAATTGTCTAAAAAAGATCATTTGCTCTTTTTAATTATTTTTGTCTGTCCGAACTTTTTGCTACTAATTATACCAACCTGAGTTTCGGTGAGTCCCAGCTCCTCGCTGATTTGCCTCCTCTGATGACCCACAACATAGGGACTCCTGGCGAACTGAGTCTCCAGTTTGGCCAGCTGGGCCGGAGTGAATGCAGTCCGGATGCGCTTGGACCGGTGGGGGTAGAGGAGGGCACTGCACATGGCGGCTGCTGGGTTGGACAGGAAGTGAGGGGGCAGGTGGGAGGGGTTCATGAGAAGTTGCGGGGGGATCGAGGGGTGAAGATGAGAAGCGTTGGTCAAGTGAGTTGGCGGTACAGAGTTACCTAAAAGCAAACAAGCTTCATTTTCGAAACATCTAATCGAATCAAAGCTCCGAGTCAAGAAAAGGGCTGATTACGTTCCATCCAAAACGTAGTTCTACCAGAATATTAACATGAACCTCAAGTAATAAAAAACGTTTATGAATTTGAAACATGATTATGATTTTTTATTGTAAAAGAAAAACATTCATTATTTTTAATAGTAAATGAAAAAAAAAGTAATTGACTAACATTGAGACCCCATGGACGCCAATGCTGAATTGAGAGACCCCCCTGCATGTGTTCCACCCATCATACTCAGCAGAGGGTCACCGCAACCCCCATATGATGACGTCAGCAACTGAGGAGTCGTAAAAGGGGGAGATGACGTCATGAATCTTGACTGTGACTGTTGTTGTCGGTTGAGGAGCATGTTTGCGGCCAAGAGGGAATTCTGCTGCATGGAATTCTGCGAAGTCAAGAAGTAGTCGAGGAGCGCCATGGAACTCAGAGTTGACATTTTGCCGAACAATAAACTTTTGTCAAGTAAGAATTAGAGGAATTTTTAAAGCAGATGATTAAAAAGCAATCTGCGCCAAACGCTAGTTGTCGCGATATTGATTTTCAGGGAAGCGTGTTAGTCACAGACTTTTCTGCAGTCAGGCTGCAAAATTTTCCATTCTTTTTTCAAATTTTGATTCCAGATCTTAAGAATTGAAACTCTGATGAAACGTAATTTTAAACGTTGATTTAAAATTTAGTTACAGCGAAAATGTTGTTAATTAACCGATTAAATATAATCTTGACTTTACGATGATGCCTTTTTATTCCAAAAACCAGCAGTCCGGATCTCTCGAATCGAGGTCGAAGTTTGGGAAACTGTTTTAAAATTAAAGTCAATATATTAACTTCTGTTTTGTGACGTAGTTTTAAATCGTAAGTAAAATTACTAAAAAGAGTTTTGTGACTATTTATCGGCAATATATGTTAATTACTTATTTTTCAGGTGGTAAAAAGTCAGATCAAACGACGTGTTTACTATAAGAATGCTCTTTTATAATTGATTCGCATTGGTTCGCTCTTTTTATTCAATTTGCCGTTCGAATTATATAAAAGAGCAACTTACATTGCAATTAATTATACCATAATTGACCATTGATAAATCTGTGATTAATTATAAACCGGCAACTCATTGCCACTCATTACGTGCCATTCATTGACTTTGTTCAAAGCACAATAAGAATTTATTTGGCTTTATTTGTAAATTAATGAGATAGATCAAAAAGTTTTTGTCGATTTATTTGTTTTTACCAAATCGATAGCATACTCGAGTTAATTAAAATTAGCCTCTTGACAGTTCATTTGAAGTTACTTTTTCAATCGACTTTATTACCTGTGTTAAAGCTTTGTTTTTCAAGTTGATCTTTCATAATTTTTCATGATTACTCTCATTACATTGGAAGTGGCACTTTTCAGAACAAATGAAATTACGTTTGATGCAGTGTTTGGTTTGTTTTTTCAAATGTAAATGACTTTTTAAACATAGTAATGCAACCAAAACTAACTAGAAAATAAAGCCTGCTCTCGATTTCCTGAAGAGCTTCCAATTATCAGGTCAACTTCCGATCATATGTGATATGCAACGACCACATAGCGTCACAAAGTTGTCGACTGTACGAAAAATAATGACTCACCACCTGAACTTTGATGGTAAACAGAAATGACGAAAGAAGAATTATTCGATGATTTATGCTTTTTGTGGCAGCTACATAAAAAGTAACAAAACCAGACTAAAACTCATTGCAACAAAATAAGCCGGTTGCTGTACATGTAGCACAGAAGGTTCCGACCACAGTTAAAACACTTTTTTTCTTTATCAATTGACTTCTTTATCAATTGTAAGCTGTTTTTGAGCGTGGCATGGATAGATGACCTAGAAGAAAGCTTACAACATTAGTTTATACATTATTTCTTACATTTGTCTGTCAAAAATGAAGAACAAAACTGATAAAAATTTAATTACAGCCAACAAAGATTTAAAAAGTTCAAGATTTCGAGGGGAAAAAGTTGAATGAAAAGCTTTGAACATTTTTCAACTTTCGAAGAAAAAGTTGTATCAAGATAAAGCTCTTTGAACAAGAATGCAACCAAAAAAATTCGAGAGCTTAATTTACCTAACTTTTAGCAACTGAAATTCAATTGAAGAATTGTTCATTATTGGCACTGTTCTCCTAAAATTATGCCACTTTAGGAAAACTGGATCAATGGGTAAAAATTTTATTTCCACTGGGAAATCTTAACATTAAAATTCACTTTCGAAGCTAGAAATCAATCACATTTACTCGCTCCATCTCCGTTTCAAATCGCCGCAGCATATTCGCTACATTTCGCCGGAAAAAATTCAAGGCGACTGAAAAAAAACTATTTGTTTTTTAAATTCATTTATTTGAATTTTAAGCAAAAAAATACTTAGCCTTGAAGTTTTTTGAATTTCAACAGTTTATGACTACAGATATAAAAGTAAATCAATTTGAGAAGACTAGATTAATAGGAAAAGTTTTTATTCCGCTGGGCAATCTTGAAATTGCATCCAGCTCCAAAATTTGAAGTCGATCAAGTTTTTTAGCGTCATTCACGCTTTCATAATTCGAGAGTTTAATTTACCTAACTTTAAGCAGCTGAAAATTGAATTGAACTCAAGAATTGATTAGTTATGAATGCTTTTCTGTAGTTATTAGAGCAGTTTCACAGTTTTCCAAAAAATATATATAGAACTATAAGTGAACATCTAATTGTTCTACACTTAAAAACTAAAACTTGTTGTCACCTCAAATTTTGTTAAATTTTTCAGATTTTAAGTGCTATAAAAGCGCTTACAGAAACTTTCTAATTTGACTGTTTTATAAGACTGAGTTTTTTCAAAGCTTAAGCAACAGATTTTATGTAACAAGCGTTATTCGCTCTCTGTAATTTTTCAAAAACAAACATTATCAACCGAATTTTCTGGACTCCTAAGTTTTATTTTTTACAAAAAAGTGTAACGATTCACGGCTTAAATGTCGTTATTATGATATATCACTCGATTCGTTCCAATGATTATTTGTGGTACCTTTGCGTGTTATTATCCAAAACACTTTCGACGTGGAAATACAAGTTCCTCCCTAATTAGTTGTTCAGGACAATATTTTCGATTCTGCGAATCACAGATGTTGTAACATAGTCGTTTATGCCGGTTTAAAAGAAGTCAGTCTTCATTTTTTCCCAATTTAATAATGTCACTTCAAGCGCGTTCATACTATGTCATCTGCCTCTGATTTGTTCTCCAGTGCTCCTTTTAGATACTCAATGATTCGAGCAAAAATCTATGATTTATCACGCTGTCACTAGTTGTTTCAAATTACTTGCCACGCACCGTTTCTTTATCAGTGCGACTATGTACGTGATCAACCGTACTATCTCTTCCTCGACCTATGACAGAATATCCCGGTAACCATGAAGTAAAATTGGAAGTTAGTTCTCGAAAAACTGAATTTCGATGGAAAATATTAAATTGACTGACAAAATGTTGGATATGGAACTAAATTTCGAGAACAGTTTCCATTCTTGTTTTCAAATTTAGTCTGAAAAAAAAACAGACTAATTTTTCTCGACACCAAGTGGTTTTTTGAGTTTTAAATGAATGCAAATCACGAGCTGAAGGGCTTTAATACGATACCATACGTAAATACTCAAAATCTGCTAAAAAGAGCCTTATCAACTAGGTGAAGCGGTTGGAACAAAAACGGATCCATAGCTTTCTTTTATTCCACCGACAAACCTAATACACAAAAATCACGTCCGAAACTCATTTTGATTTTTCGCGCTGATTGAATTTCCGTTTTTAGACAGCGTAATTGCCTTCATTTTAGCAAAGTAATTCGAATTGAACATTTGAAGAAATCACTTGAATCAATGACACTTACTATTGTTTTTAAACACAACTGAATCAAATAAGACTGCAATTGGAACCAACGGCTGACTGGAGATTGTACGGTTGACTAGAAGAACCAATCAACAAAAGCCGTTGAAGCACAATTAACAAACATAGCCAACTGTCAGTTGGAACAGAGTAATGAACCTTACCTAAGGAAACGCCATGACTGGTGCTTTTCTAATAAAATAAACTCAATTGGAGAAATTGGATCAATTCGAAAATTTTTCATTGCGCTGAAAAATCTGAACATCAAAATTCTTCCTGAGAACTATTAGACTATCACGTTTTTCGTTATCTTAAAACATTTGCTGTTCGACAGTGGAGTTTGCTTTTTTAACAATGGTAATAAACTGAACTTAAGAAATCAAAAGTCTACGCGAAAATTCTAAAATGAGCGTGAACGAAATTTTAAAACTTTACCTAAAAAACAAAAAAACTACACCGATTATTCTTAAAAACGGCATTTTACTTTGTAAATTAGAATCACCCTTATGGGGACGCTTAACCGTGCATATATCTGAACTTATCTTTGGTTCTTTATTTTTTTGTAGGATCTTAAGGTATGAGCAACATTTGGGATCTTTTGAAGTGGTTATTGTCCTGAAATCTCAAGCCATAATCTTTTTCGCCGATACACCCCTAAAATGATCATTGAATGTTGCGCGCTAGGTTCGTACTTACACAGACGCGAAGCTGTGCTTCGCAAACACTTGCGATAACACGACCCAAAAGCAGCTCTGTCAAGTTAAATAAGAATAAGAAATAAGCCTTGAATTAGCGAAAACTGGGCTACATGTAGGATTCTAATCTGCCACCTACTGCAATCAAGAGAAAGCAGCTACATATGCGATTAAATTGCCAATACGATTCAGCACAAGAGGCACCAAATACAAATAGACTCAATTTTGCAAACTGAAGCTATCCATCCTAACTTTGCATGTAATAAATTGCAAAGCATAAAGCCAAATTATGTATAAATTACGCATTTCAAAAAATTGCGAGATATTGAGTTAGAAAATTTCTGAAATCGAGTTTTTATTTTTGTTATGTTGTTTGAAGCGAAAAACTTTTTTTTCGGTTCATTTGATGAATTAAAAATGCATCAACTGTTTCAACTTATTAATATTCGAATGTCAAAGCACATCCCATCAAAAAGCTGTAACTGTGCTCCAAAAGTGGCACCAATATTTGATACTTAGGTTGGAAAATAAGGTTCGTACTAATACACTCGCTTCGCAAGTGTAAACACAAGTATTACTTGTGTAATAATTGAGCTTACTTCTTCACTAGATTTCTCAACGTACTTAATATTGACAGGTCTTAGCAGTGAGATTGAAGAAACTGTTGTCAGACATTTATAATTTTAATCAGTGAGGTTGAGATTGGCTACATTGAATAATCACCAAACAATTGTTGAATATGTATTGTTATGTATGTTGGCATGTTATGTAATTTTAATCATCTATGTGGGGTGTTTAATGGGTGTATAATTTTCACATAGTATGAGCAATGTAAGAGTTAGGGTAGAGTTTGAATTTTCTTGCAAATCGCTTTCGATGGATTATTTTGTTTTTACGCAAGATTGAGAAAACAAATTTTTAGGCTATGAGAGATTAAATCTGACTAATAATTAACAGAATACTCAATAAGATCAACTAAAATGAAAATGATCCGCAAATAAAGATTATTTTACAACTCAGTTTAGGAAACGAAGGTTACATCTATTACATACAACAGCAAAACTGAAACGAAGCATTTTTAAATATAGTTTCTGAGCTCAGAGTAATTTTAAGCAACAAAGATAAACGCTCAGAACTTAGCACTGGCCGAGAAACTGAAAAAACAGATTGCGAGCAACTCTAGAGAAATTAAACTTTGAAGCGATACGTTCAATTCAGTTTTTCCTGCAACTTCGTCTGCAGCGACGGTCGTTAGAATTCGAAATTGGATCAGCAAATCGGATTTCTTCTCAATCGTCTCGTCCACTGGAGTAACACAATTTCATCGTGTACTTTTTGTTATCTGAAAGACAACAAAATTATCAACTAACCAAAACATTTTTTTGGTAGTAAATGTCAAACATTTTGTCAGAAAACAACCCCTTGATGATCTTATACTTTTATAATTGATATCAGTATTGTCTTACAAATTGTAACCTTTGGGTAGAAATATCATTGTTCTTTCGATTAAAAACCTTTAACATAGGCAACTGACAGTTTTTTCTTTCAAAAATCTGATAACTAATTTCCATTTTCAAAACCCACTTTTTTCTTTCAAAAAACTGATAATTAATTTCCATTTTCAAAATTAAAGTCGATCACGTTTCTCGTGACCTTTACAATTTTGCTGTTCGACAGTGGAGTTTGCCTTCCTTTTTCCTTTTAACAATAGAAATGCACTTGAACTTAAAAAAATCACAAGTCAAACCGCGAAAAATCAAAATTGAGCTTGAACAAATTTTAAGACTTTTTCCTAAAAAAAAAAAAAAAAATCAGCAAGACCTATATAAGAGTCTTCACTACGTTCATGACTCTTAATAGATCGATAGTAGTGCAATTGAACGAATTATTTACCCGGTGCAGTGTAGAGAGTATGGTTGGCTAAAACCAGTGCCTCCGTGGACTCACTCTGGGACTCAAACATCACATTCGCAGACACCTTCTTCGCCTCCTCTATAATACACACATTAAATACAAATACACATGATATCCTTTACCACATGGTCTAGTAGAACACAACATGCTGCTATGCTCATTCTCTCCGACTTAACACTTGTCACCGCAATATGATAACTTTGAATAACTACAAATCCGCATCAACATTTAGACATTTATGTTTTATGTGGACACTTTTACGAGGGGGCGCAAAACTGGAAACCTTTGTACTCACCTTTGTACTTGTTCTCGACAAACTTCACTTTCTGAGGAGTTGCGCAGCCCTTGTCCTCCAGCATCTTCAACAGCACATCCTCAGTGAGTCCTTTCGGGAGGTTGAACGCGTGCAGAGTCTTCTTCGGGGTCTGCAGTCTGTTCTTGCTCCGCTCCAGCTGGGTGCTGAATCTCTGCTCCCTTATGCCCATGAAGTTCACAAAGTAGGGCTCCCCAGTCTGCATTTTGGAGTCATCTCCTCCGCGCTCAAACAATTCCTGCTGCTTGGAAGGCCTGAAAGCACGCAAAACAGGAACTTAGACGACACGCAAATTAGACGCAACGTACAAAATAGAATTTAGACGCGGAACGTCCAAGTTCTCAGTCCCTGAGTTTTTTTCACTTAATGTGGTGTTCTTACAGCCCATTTTATTTCAGCGGCATATTTGCGTCTATATTCTATAAAAAATGAAAAAATGCCAGTTCCCAGTCATCTAAATGCGATTATTCCCGTGTACACTTTTTTTGAAATGATCACAATCTTGTCTGACAAAAACTCAAGTCCTCAAAACAGAAGTCACGTCACTTTTTCTGACTCCTAAGTAAATAGCTAGTTGAATATTTATTTGAAGAAATTGCTTCCAACAAATCAAAAGTCTGCGAAATGCGTCTCATTACTCTTGCTATTTATACTCTGCTTTCCACTTGCGCTCAACAGAGTCGAAGGCAATACAATTTTGGGCACAACAGACAAAAAGAACTCAAAAAGACGAATGAAGCAATGATATCCGCAATTTCACAAGGAGAAAGGAGCCAGGGTCGGGAAGGCTCAGATCCTGATAACCCAGCCATGCCTTATGGGCTGACGCGAGATATTTGGAACAAACTTAAGGATCCGCTTTCTCATCTTGATAAAGAAAACAAAAGTAGCAGCAACAGCAGCGATAACAAAAACACCACGAATTCAAGCGGTTGGTTGGACATAGATTGGGGTAAACTCAAGCCCAATATAACGATTGCGGATAAGCTATCTGGTGTTGAAAATGCGATCTCACAGTTAGATTACAGTCGCGATAAATCCGTGAAACACCTTTTGAGCAAACTAGTTGATGGCTGCCTAGATGTGGTATCCTTTCGTAAAATAGCTATTCTAAATGACAGGAACAAAGAAGAGATGGGCAGAGCTCAGATTAAAACGTGTAGGTGTCTGCGCAAACTGAGGAGCACTTTGGAGGAAGTTCCTGATTTCATGCACTGCTGTGAGCCTTACAGCATCGCAATCGTATCAAGGCTAGTATAAATTAAATCATTAAGTCTTTCCTGAGCAACTAATTCCTATCTAAAGCTGATAACCGATCTTCGGATATTCCGGTTAATTTAAATTACTCATTAATTATTCAGATCTCGATCGTTTTTTAAAACGTAAATTACCTCAAGATACCTTGATAAACTCAACCAAACTAAATGTTCGTCAAATATTCACCAAAACAAACTAACTTTTTTGAGTCCAAATTGGCTGTTTGAACGAGAATAATAAGCATGCTCCTTGGTTACTTCCAGTTTCAAAGAACTGACGAAATTGGCAAGAAATCCAGAACTATCAAACGGTCAAGTACAAGATTTATTCAATCGAGCCAAAGCCGAAAACATTACGCCGAGTGCAGCTCAAATGACAGACTGTCTCAAAACCAGTCGACGCAAGCAAACGCTCAACCGAAGCTCAAAAATCACATTGAAACCCAATCTAACATCGACAGTTTCGCTGTTTACATTTTATTTAAACCTGATTCGGTTCAATCGATAGCTGCTACAATACATGGCAGTGAGCTTCATTCAATTCTGCTTTATTTGGCTATTTTAAAATTAGTTTATGTCGATAATTATTGCTCAATTGCATTGATGTTGATTCTTGTATTATATACATTTAACAAAGTTTTAAACAAAATAAAACATTTCAGAAAACTTTTTGGCAAAAACGTCACAATATGAAATCAAATGAAAAATTTTAAGATAATAAAATTCAAATAAGAAATTTGAGACATTGAGATCAAACCGTTTTAATTTTAGCGCTGATTTTAACACAAGCAAAAATGCACTTCGCGAACACAAGTCACAAAGCACCAAGAAGTAGCTTTAAAAAGAAAAAGAAGGTAAGAAAAACAAAGCCAGTAGACAGATGGAAAAGTCAACGAACGCAAGTAAACAGAAAAAACATAGCCAACAGATAGTTGAGAAAGAGTCAATGAACGCAAAGAACGAAAACACTGACTTATTTTTTTTGAAAAAACTTCAGCTTTCGAACTTCAAGCAAAAAAATATGTTGCCTTGAAGCTCTTCAAATTACAGCGCAATTTATGACTGGCACTTTTTTGATAAAATTAACACAATTAACTCAAATTCAGGAAGGAGGAAATCTGAAAATTAAATTCCCCTTTCGAAACTAGAAGTCGATCACGTTTTTTGTGAACTTTACACTTTTGCTCTTCGATAGTGAAGTTCGCCTTCCTTCTTAAAAAGAATTCAGAAGTTAAACAGCGAAAAAGTAAAATTGAGCCCGAACAACATTTAAGACTTTTCCTGAAAAAAATCATCGCAACCTATATGGAAGTCTGAACTACGTTTATCAACTCTTACAAAAAATCTTACTCTTACTGTCGAATTTCATGGAAAAAAATAGATGCCCTTAAAATTTTTTGAATTTCATGAACAATTTATGATTGGCAATTTTTAAACACAATTAATCAAATTTGAGAAATCTGGATCAATCAGTAGAATTTATATTTTGCTGGAAATCTGTCAAATTCCACTTTCGCAACTAGAAGTCAATTACGTTTTCCTTGAACACGTTCGACGATGAAGTCTGTCTTCCATTTTACAATAGAAAGAACTGCTTTAAAAAGAAATCGAAAGCAAAACCGCAAAAAAGTAACCTGATCCAGAACAAATTTAAAAACTTTTAAAGCATTTAAAGATTTTAAAAAAGAAAAAAATCATCGCGACCTATATAAGAGTCTGAACTACGTTCATCAAATCTTAATAACATAGCCAACTGACAGTTGGAAAACAGTAGTGAACGCAAGCAAACAAAAAAACTGACTTTGTATCGGAAAATAGCCACGTTGCGAAAGTGTCAATGAACGCTAGTAACCGAAAAAAAATGACTTGTTTTCAAAAATCATTAATTTGTAATTTCAAAGAAAAACTATATGGCCTTAAAGGTCTTTGAATTTCGAGAACAAAATATGATTAACACTTTCTAGATCTTGATATATCATTACTTAAACGTTCTTATTTCTAGTGCAGATAATTTCTTCCTAGTGTGAGACTTTTCTACGATTGTTCGATTTTTTCTGTTCGTGCCAATCACTTTCACGTCGGCCAAAAAACGGCTAAGAAAGGACAAATTTATATGAAGACAAGCCCTTAATTTGCCTATCCGTTCCTCAAAAAAATCCGCTTTCTGAACAGTAGTATGTACTGACTTGGGTGTAATTTTGGATCCGAACACTTCCAGTCCAGTGACCACCTGCATGACTCTGGCCACTGCCTCCTGGCCCTGCATCTCCACCATAGCACTTCCTGGCTTACTCTTCATGAACTTAATCTACAACACAGAACACAACACCATTGAAATAATATCACATTTCATACTATGCAAGTCGTTTTTTTTTTCATTGGCGTTTTCTTTTTCGACGAATATATTTATTTTACCTCATTTACGTGCAAAATGCTTATAACACGCACATTAACTGTTGACACTCCAAAAATCTATATAAACACCGCGCTCCGCTTGTCTAAAGATCCAAAATTGTTTACTTATTGCTGATGCTCTGTGTTACTTTTTTACATGGTTCTATTCGATTGTAACACTTTATCTCACCAAGGCTTACATTGGGCCACAAAAATTTAACCAATTTTGTTTTCGATATCTTTACATTATAGTGAATTGTAGTTTTAAATTCACCTTGTTGACATTTCCAAAGATACACAAGAGGTTGAACAGTCGCTGGGGTCCAAACTTCTCCTCATGCAAGCCATACATCATCAGCACCACCGGCATCAGGTCCATATTCCCTCCCCCACCTCCTCTCTCCATCAATCCCGCTTGAGGGCCATAGCCTCCTTGCTCCAGCTCATCCACAGGCACATAGTATGGACTAAAGTGACCAGAATTTAACACTGATTATTGAAAAAAAAACAATTTTTTGAAGACAACACAGAATGTCATTCGAAATTCGTTTCACGACTTCCATAAAAAACGATATAAGATTAAATCACTTTAGCTTTGGTTCAAGAATTTAAATTCCACCCGGTAATGAAAAAATGTAACTAACAACCACGCTTAAGTTCAAGTTGAATTTATTCAGAGACATGAAATTAACTTACTCGTTTTGGCGCATTAGGGGCGCTGGCTGCCGGCCTGAAACAATTTAACATCAATTACTTTCGTGACGCCTTGAGATAATTGATACATTCAATGAGTTTCAGTAACAAAAACACAAAAGAGCCAACATTGAAGACCCAACAGAAAACTTATCTCAACAATGAGATTGCATAGCTACGCGAAGCCACTCAGAATTAGAATGGCTACTCGGTAAATACCCCCTTTTTATGAAACCTATAAAAAAAGTTTAGGAATTAAAATTAAATAATTGGCAAAAAACGTTTGCAAGAACTATTTTATTTGTCGCTGAAAAAACTCTAGATCAAATAAAAAGATGTTAAACATGCGGAACTACTCACCTCCCAATGAAAAATTTCCTCTCGAATCAATGTAAACTTCTGGCTCGGACAAGCCCATAGCTGGGCCCCCTCTATAGCCCCCTTGGGTTGGTCTTCGTCCCCCCATTCCACCTCCTTGAGGGGGACTTCTGACTACCGTGTATCCCCCGCCCGGACGTCTAGACATACCTGGTCCTCCTGCTTGGGGGGACAATTGCTGGACTCCTCTGGTGGTGTAATGATCTCCATGGTAGTCTCCTTGACCTTCGGGTGCCGGCAACAATCCAGGGTCCATTCTGGAACCTCTTTGAGGAGGTGCAACCTCGCTGCCTAAGAAACACATTACACAACTAAATTATGATGAACATTAATTTTTAAAATCTTTTCTAGTTAGTCTGCTGTTTCAATGTTTTAATAAGTGTTTGATGAACATGTTTGTTGAAACTTGAAAGCGTTTTGGGATCGACACTTTTCTACATATGCTCTTTTTTCAAATTGTTTTATGCCATTGGCAACGCAGTCAAAACCTGCGGGACAAAATGTGTCCCTAGAATAGCATGTTCAATGTCACAGTCTCCGTGCATGATTCAAACTTTTTAGCATGAATTTGTTTTTATAGCATAAATTGAAAAAAAACTCAAGTAATTTTTCCCGCATTCAAGTCACGAGAAAAAGCGGCACCTAAAGCAAAAATGCGCTAATAATTGATGAAAATTAACAGAATCAGATGAATGACTAATACTGTTGAAAAATCGATTAATTTAAGAACATTCTGCGTTTGTGAACTATAAACTGCGATTGTATTGCCATAATTATGTCTGATAATTTCTTCGACCTAAATAAGCAGCAGAACTATCTGTGTTAATGGGTTTGGAAAATGAAATGAATTTATTTAAATGTCAGCACCGATTTTTAATATATGATATTTCAAGTATTGCCGATGAATTTAGATTGTCTGAAACATTTTATATGAGTTAATTTTAAGTGATTATGTCCTTTTTGATTGCAGGTGTATAATTTTTCTGAGTAGAAATGCAATTGAAGGGATAGACAGTAATGGACAGCTTTTGAGTGCTAAGGACGATGATCATCGCTGTGTGCTTGATCATTATCGTAATAAGACGAATTCGTCGCGATTCGATTCTTTTATTTCAAGCCGTTGGTTCCGAATGAAAGGTTTCGTAGAATATGATGGATAACTAATTTGAAATATTTGGAGTAGTTAATATAAGTTAACATAGTTCAATAAACAAGGCCTCTGCACAATAAGTTATAGGTAATCTGTCATTATCTAAGAAAATGAATTATACTTCGCCAGAACAAAACCATTTAAGTTGCGGTGATGCGCTAAACGTAAACAAAGTTCATTCGTAACACTATTAATCACTGTCTTTTAGGTGCAGCTTCCTATAAAAAAAAACAGAAAAGCGAACGTAGCACATAAATCAATATGCAAGACATTCTCGCTTCAACGTATCTTTAGCTTCTAACTTTGTTTTTTTTTTTCAAAATAACGTATTTCCTAGAATGTGTGTTTGATAAGACAGACATGAAGCTTTAAGTGGCTTTTTTCTGAAGCCTACCTTAATGCTCTTAAATTACCAATGTAATCTAGTTGCTTGCGTAAAAACGAGAACAGTCGCTATTCTTCAAAATTGGCAGCAGATTCTTTACATTTCAATCAACTTTTTATATTACAGATAAGCAGCTTAAAATCACTTCATAAGACCAACAGTCAGTTGCAAAAGCTTAAAGAACCTAAGGATTCTAAAACAAAAATTGTTTTAAGTACTTCATTTTCAATAAAGGCCGTACAATCGATTCAGTTGTATTCGCAAATGCGCCCACCGCTTACCTGTTCAAGTAGTTAAAACACTAAAAAATTAGCCAATAGACAGTAAAAAAATATATGGCCTTAATTCTCTTTTGAATTCTAAGACGAATTTATGATTGACACTTTTTTGACCCAATTTGAAAACACTGGATCAATAGGTGAATTTTTTATTCCACTGGAAAATTAAGAACCACTGCCGAAAATAGACTTGGATCCCGTTTTTCGTTATCCTTTTTATTTTTGCTGTTAAACAAATGAAATGAACTTAACTTTGAAATAAATCAAAAATCAAACTGCGAAAAATCAAATAAAAGCGTAAATAAAGAAAAAAATTACCAAGACCGATATAAGAGTATTCACTACGTTCATGACTCTTAATCAAAGGTCAAACTGTGTAAAATCATTTTTAGCGAGATCAAATTTGAAGACTTTTCATCACGACTTACATAACTGTCTTGTTCATTGACAGTTAAAAACCTTAAGCAAATTGAAAAAATTAAAAAAAAATTCGAGCGTGAACTATTAAAGACTTTTTACTGCGAAAACGTACCAGACCTAAGTCAGTGTCGTCGCTTCCTTCATCAATACTCAACTACAAAAATGCCGAATTTCTAAAACACTGATTAGTTGGCACATCAAAGAGATACCCCTTTTCACTGTGAATGATCTGTATTGTTTAATGCATTATAGTTAAACTGGTGCGAGATAGTCTTCGCGTACCAGCGTTGTTTGTGCAATACAATTCTAATTAATGTTGCCTCCTATCTTCTGAGATTTCTGTGTTTTTTGTAGCATTGAAGCTCATGACGCGACAGTTCATTTGAATATCTGGCGTGAAGTTTCATCAAACTTGTGAGAATTTTCGGTGCTTTGCTTTCATGTCTGATAGCTGCGATTCCTATTTTGGCAGTGTCATCGTTGCTATTTATGACTGTTTCGCAGACTGTGGTCTTCGCGTAGAATGTAGAGTGAGTTTTTGATGTTCTATGTTATTATAGCTTCATCATGTAGATCAATGCCTAGCGGCCGATGGTTGTTTTGTCGTGTTGGTATGCCGTGTTTGAAATTAACACTAAAACCGACCTTACATTTCAACCAGATATTTCCATCACCACACAGTTGTTTCATTTGCCTCTCTGGCGATGGAGCCCAGAAGATCCTCAGTTGCAATTGCGAAATGTCCCGGTCACTTAAACTATCAACATCAACAGAGGAGTTTCAACAGTCAATAAGGTTTAGAAAACATGATTAACAATAGATAGCACAGACGGTTCAGATTTGATAAAAGATACTAAAAGTTTTTAAAATAGTTTGTACCTTCTAGAAGTTCCACGTTGTAAGTATCCTCGCTATTCCTAGTCACATTCAAAGTCTCCGGCTAAAAACCAATTCATCAGATAATTGCGAGAATTTACTGCGAGGATGTAATATTTATATTTCAATGTCCCCATGCTTTCTTTCCCCTCCCGCGTCATTTATCCAACACAGATGCGAAGCAGAGCTTCGCACCACTTGCTATACAAAACTGAATGACTATCTGTACTTGCGGAGAAACCGACAAATCGAAAAATAAAACAAACCTCAAAAAAGACCAAATTTCAAAAAAAAATCGTGCAACTCAATTAACTGTGTTTTCAGAAATTTTGCAAACAAGAAAACAAGAGGTGAAGCGAAGCGATATAGCACATATATAGCATGACAAAATAAATAACGTAAATAGAGATGAAAGCCGCAGAAAAAAAAATAATATATTTTTGAAAAACGATCTAAAAAAATTGATCGACCAAAAATTTTCCATCAATTGTCTTGACAACTTTTTATTAGAAATACTTCACAAAAAAGTTAAAGTTCCCCTATGAAAAGCTTCAGATAAAATCTCTTTTTTTACTTCTCAAACTACTCAAAAAGAGGCATCTAAATCGATATATTGTAAGCCGAAACCTTTTCGGGCGAATAAAGAGGAAAAATAAAATGATACAAGAGCTAACCCGATACAAAATAAACCGAAACCTTTTGAGTAAGCAAAGAAAAAAAAGAGAAACAAACTTCGAATAGAACGGGCATTTAAAGCATATATGCTGAAAAAAAACTGCATTTTGGGCATTAAAACTGCATATTTTGAGCATATACTGCATATATGCTCAAAAAACTTGTCTGTTAAATTACGAAAGTAGTTTTGAAGATGACTAAACTTGCGATGACAAAGTTATTTACGGGGAAAACGAGCTCAAACCATGACAAATGGAATTAATAACCTTAATTACCTCAGCGAAAAATACAAAACAGCTTTTTCTAAAAAAAATACATTCGGTGCTGCAGAAGCGCTAAATTAAGCTTAAAACATCTTTATACATTTAAACATTAAATAAAAAACTAGATTATATTTGATTAAAAACTAGAAAATGCATTAAATTGATTGATATTGTAAAATTCAAAAACGAAATCTATGTCGGAAAAAAACAGCATGAAAATTTTGATTCTCGCCACTTGCGATACATGGAACAAACGAGAAAAAAATCGAAAATGTCAAAAAAAATAGATATATCAAAAGGAATAAAACTAGTTCTGAAACAAAACATGCCAAGACAATAGAATCTGAAACACATAGGCGAAGTTGCACTTCGCATACACAAGCAAAAATATGACCCATAACGCTACTAGGAAAAACTGAATGAGTAAAACTTCGCGTCCACAAAATTTCTTAAGTGCCGCACGCCAACTACGAGTCTACATAGTTGCAAAGTGACGCAAGCCAATTATGACGCATTAGCAGTACCAGTCAATTTGAAAAAATAGAAATCTACCAACTAACATGCCTCAATTTTTAGAGCGGACGCATTTTAACTAGTATACAAAAAAATTCATAAAACATCCGACCCTGCCCAAGTTCAAACCCTCTTATTTTGTTGCTGGTCTCCTTCCCTACCTCTACGCTACAGATCAATGATACATTGAAGCCAAAGTGCTATTTGTAATATAATAGTCTGTGTTAATATCCTTAGCATTGGCTGTACTTAATAGCTGGATCAAAATGAACATTTCGTCGCAACAATATTTGCGACTTAGGTTGGAAAAAAAAGACTTGTGTTATGCTTGTGTAATTAAGCATCGGAAGATAATTTACCCAGCAGTAACAAAGCCAAAAATACTTGGACAGAAATTCTTTGAGCCGAAAAAAAAATTTAGCCAAATGAAACATAATATGAGACCACTAAGACGATAATAATATAGGCAAAAAGGTACTAAAAATTCAAATCGAAAAAAATTCAAACAAATTTAAGACTAATAAGAAGTTATTTAGTCCCCCTCACCTTCAAAACACAGTCACGCACACTTTTATTTCTCGTCGAAAGACGCAATATGAGGCCAATAATCCGATATGAAACAATCCGAAACCTATGAAGCCAAAAAAACGAAAAAAAAACTGAAAAAAAAGGTTGTCATGAAAAACGAACTATAATTTCCATTAATGAATTTTAGCGTTTTGTTTGATCTAGAGGTGAGTATAAATGATATGTTTCCATTGAAACGACTCGCATTTAGGTCACAAAGCCAATAAAAAATAGACCATAAAGCACTTGGGTAGAATAAAGTTTTTCAGCGAAAAAATCTCAAAAATTCTAATACTTTTATGGAGGGCTTAGGAGTGTGATTCAGACTTGCAAAAATCTTTTGTTAGAAATCAATCGTTATACTACAAACAAAAATTATTTAAAAAAACTACTGGAAAAAATCCGACGCATTTGAAGCCGAAGTGGCAAGCGTAGCCAATAAAGCAGATCGCGAAACCAAAATAATTAAGGTTTCGACTAAAAAGAAAAAACGAACTAGAAAACCGGACATGCAAAATCTTCTCGTTAGAGTTCAAAAACTTCTCGTTAGAATTCAAGTGTTATACACGAGGCGAAGATGCGCTTCGCAAACACTAGCGAGAACACGACAAAAAGCAGCTCTATAAAGTGCAATAAGAAAAAGTAGAAATAAACCTCGAATCAGTAAAAAATTTGCTGAGTATTGGCTTCGAATCTGCGACCTTGAGAAACGGAGTCTGACACCTTAACAACCGGCAAACACTAGTCACAAATAACGCAGCTACATATGTTAACAAACTGCCAAATGCAAATAGACGCAATTTTGCAAGTAATAGTTTGGAATATAGCAAACTGAAGGCATCCATACTAAATTTGCATATAATAAGTTGGAAACCATAGAGCCACATTTTGTATAAATTATACAATTCAAAAACGAGATATATTGAGTTAGAAAATTTCTGAAATCGAGTTTTTATTTTTGTTATGTTGTTTAAAACAAATAACTTTTTTCGGTATCATACTAACGCTCACTGAAGCTGGCTAGTGTAAATACCAACAAAAAGTAGCAGAAAAAATATAGAAAATAAGCTGAAAGAATTGAAGCCGACCAGTCTCAGTGACGAAAATGTACCAAAAAACTTCGAATCCTCCAAAACTCTTAATGTAACACGACTAAATGCCGTGTGGTAACAGCAAACAGCTAATACAGTTATCACGTTATTAAGCAACCATTTGTCCATTCATTTCACCTTTTGACTATTTGCACTTTTTACCATTTGACTATTCTGTGGACAAAGTTATTTACGGGGAAAAAAGTTTAGTACCCGATTGCCAAACCCTTGCTTATCGCAAGGGTAATGAATTATTTAAATATACAATTAAAACAAGAGGAAAAAATGTGGGCATAGAACTCACCCTTGCGAATTCGATTCTGAGAGTGCAGCATCCAGAGTATATATCAGCCCCGTCTATGTTCCTCTTGACGTGAGTGGCCGTCTCAATGGAGTCGAACTCGACCATCGCCTGCACTCCTCTCTTCCTGAACACGTACATCCTCACTGGGGCACAGTCGTACTTCTTACACACTGCCAGCAGCACCCGAACATTGATCGGGTAGTCGGGCCGCATGATAGTGAACAGAAGCACCTGGATAAAATAATCATCAGCTACTTTACCTTGCCCAAAAAAACAATCGGTACTTCAGAATAGATAAAACACTAAAAAATGCTCAAAAAAGGTTTTTGACCCACTCGCCAATAAATCTAAAAAGCTAAAACTTTTTTTGAAGAAAGAGAAAAAATTGTTTGAACTGTTCCGAATTTTTTCAATGAATTTTTTCTCAATTAGTCCCGGAAGTAGTCTCAATTTGGTATATTAGACTACCGAACTTGATGTTTATTTGTGGTGCCATTTTTGTTAATTCAAAACTACCTTATTCGGCTTCTCGTTAGTTCTCTCTCGTGGCCTTCTCGTCATCTCGGCAGGGGACGTTGAAGAGGCGGAATTGGAGGTCCCTCCATTGGCATAATGCTCATCCGGCCTACAATTTGTACATAAATCGCATCAGATTGAAATAACATAGAACGAAGTGCTTAACCACGAGTTAATTCAACATCGGATTGTCATATGGCACTGGAGAGCTTTTTCTCCCAGATAGTTGGGATTAATACACAAATCTATCAATCGTATTAATAGAATATCTTTTTCACCTGCTGGACATGTTTCTCACTCTTGGATTGTGGCCGCCTGCAGATGCGTACGAAGAGGTTCTAGCAGTCGATTGAGAGTAATAGCCGCTGTCTAAAACATTATCAAGAACAGCAATATTATAAATGTGCTTGCAATAGATTGATTGGATTTAGGTTTTTTCTTCTATTTTCAATTTCAACGAAAAACTTTGATGATAAATGTCATCAAAAACTATAAAAAAAACAAGGATAGTCGATTGCTGTGGAATTAGCACAGAATGTTCCAACCAATTCTTAATGAATACAATTTTTTTTTTCAAATTGTCGCTTTTATCCGTGGCGTGATAAAAAAAAATCTGACGAAAGTCTAGAACTTAGACACATTGCACAGTCACAATAAAATGCATAAAATGGCAAACAATTTTTTGGTCAAAATGACAAAAAAAAATCACAATAAATTTCTACAGAAAGTTATTTCAATTTTTTTTTCGAATTTTTGTAGTTTTTTTTCCCCATGACGGCCTTGAAAAAGCGTTGAATTTTTTTTACTTGAGTAAAACTAAATTTTCACGGCTGATCCGTCTATAGTAAGCCTGATCGCTTGCATGCATTACTCGCTCGAAATTGACATGAAGCTCCAGTTTTAAACCAGTCTTTCTCGTCACTAGAACAACTTTTTTCAATGTCGTCCGAATCAGGGCTGAAAAAGCTTGAATAAGATATATCACTCAACCGATTCCTATGATTATTTGTAGTAGCTGGTTTTGGTTGAAAAACAAAATAAGCCTGCTCGCTCACTTTATTGTCTCGAAATTACACCAAAAATCAAAATTTTCAATCGGGTTTTTCTCGACACTGAGAAAATTTTTAAGGTGATTCGAATTACGACTGAAAGGGGGGCTTCAATATGATATATCACTCGACCCATTCCGATATTACTTGTTTAACTTGATTTTGCGTGAAAAAAAAAACACGAAAAAACCTAAAAAACATCTTAATACCAAGTTTCTCCCCATTTTCTATGATCGGAACCACAAGGATAGACGGTTGCTACGCATGCAAGTAGCATAGAAAGATCCAACTTCCAAAAATAGGGGAAAAATCGCAGACCGAGAAACGATTTTAGTTAAGCTAACGTAGAAATAACCGTAAATTAAACTCTGCCATTAAAATTGGGTTGTTTGTCCTCGCCATTCAATTTTGTTTTGGAATTCAAACCACGGCTGAAAGGGCTTCAATATGATACCACAGTTGAACCCTACGTGCTTTCTTTGAAGTAGGCAAATTCAGGAAGAAGAAAAATCCCCTTTCGCCATAGTTCCTGCCCTTCAAAACCACACGACCTAAATAAGCTTAAATTCATTTCTCACTAACGCTTAATAACATATTGCAAAAAACACGGCAAGTTAAGCAATGCAATGCTTCATGTTCAACGAAACACTTGAAACTTTCAAAAATAGTTGAAGGTTTTCCACTAGCCTTTGCCGCCTTGTGGGTAATGCTGCTCCTGCTCCGCTGCCGTATAGTCCGGATGAAGATGATGCGGAGGGTAATTAGCTGGTAAAAGCGTCGCCGGATCCTGGCTGCCTCCTCCGTACTGATTATGAATGGATGCGGATGATGCTAATCCGTTGTTCAGTCCTGCTGAAGATGATCCAGTAGCGGCGTTGTTAATAGTGGCGCTTGGATCTGTTAGCGACTGAAGAGATTGTATGTGGGAGTATGAAATGGAGGGGACGCAGTTGCTAATGGATATACAATGGCGCTGCTGTTGCAACAGTAACACGTTGTCCGCATCCTCGATCCGCTCAAACTCTACCAGAGCTTGGCCTTTGTTGGATAGTATGTAGCAGTCTCTATACACAACGAACCAACCGACAATTAATAAACCATTTTAGCTCAACGTTCATAATATCTTATTAACAAAGTATCAACGTTTTTTACATATCACTAAACCTGTTTAATTGCTTCAAATCAAAAATCCAAGTTTTTTCAGATCAATTTCAAAATCAAAATTTGAAGTCAGACAAGGAAATTTTGTTTCGTTTTTTTAAATCTTTCTGAATGATGAATAGAGCAAATTTTACATTTTGATTTTTCAATAGGTCTGAAAATTGGTATTGTTCTGGGCTTCATTTAAGCTTCAGTTTGACTATATTTCGACAATAGAACGCTTAAAAATGTGTTTTGGGAGTTATTTAGCACCACCTGCCACTAGAAAAAAAAATCAATAAAAAAATCAAATTACCATTAAAAATTGAGATTATTTCGCCATATATAATTCTACGTTGCTAGCTTTCTGGATGCTTATAAACGACCACTAACCGCATAAAATAACCGCATATAATGAACCTTAGCAAATATGAACTATATTGTAAACATTGATCTTAATAACTGTTGTGTCACAAATGTCCTGAAGATATCATAACAAAGAAAATAAAATCAACCAAAGGAGCACAGCGTCAGTTAGGGCGGATCTAAGATTTTTTCCCAAAGGGAGATGGGTTGGTTTGACAAACATATGGTATCATCAAACAGAGGCAAATTGGAGCAAAACAGACAATGAGACTAAACACATAAAAAACACACAGGACAAAAATTCAAACGCAAAAATTATACGCCGGCCTGACTCAGCCCGAGAAAAAACCTCATGAAAGAGGGAGCCCTTAAAAAAACAAAAAAAATCATATATCAGGTCAATGCTATGAATTTTCTGACTGCCGTTCAAGTTGTCTCCATTAGTCTTTGATTTTGTTTGCATAAAATTTGACTGTCGATTTCGAATACTAAGTTTTAAGATTTGAGTGGTTTAAGGAAATAAAACGACCAATTATTCGCGTAATAAACAGGCGGTTTACTTACACCGAAAGCGCATTTAGTATGGGTGCGTAGCACACTCACTTGTGAACACTTAGATTCTGGGTTCGATCCCCACTTTATACCTATAACATTCTTTCAAATATTGGCCTAAAAACACTTCAAGTACACATCTCCCTCAGTTTCTTCGAAAAACAAAAAAGATGCTGCAAAAAAACTACATGCTCCAACGACATTCAATGAATTAACATTTGAAGAGAATCAATTTGTATCATGTCCTTGGGTGAGAAACGAATCAATTTAAATTGTGCTAAAACTTTTAACGATTTTCTGAATTGGACGCATTCTTATATGAAATAACCTATGCTCCGGAAAAAGTAACTAGCTCTGTACTATGGCGATACTTTTCAACAAATCAGCGCTTTTTCAGGGTTTTTTATATATAAGACTTTTGAAAGGAATTTTAGCAAAAGGAACCCCGGCATCAGATTCTCCGAGACTTTAGAAAAAAAATCGGCAGCTTCGGATTCAACCGGGGTCTGTGTCGGGTTGGGCGCGTATATTTTCCGCTAGGCTATAGGGGTTTTTTCTTATTATGATGTTTTAGAGTTTTTTCCAATGTTCCTGGTGCATGAAAAAAAAAAGAGTTTCTTGTGGGAATCAAACCCTGGTGTTTGTTGTGAATCAACTTTACGTTTTTGGTCTTTTTGTTTGAGCGTGGGAGAAAACTTGCATGTCACGAGGTCAAGTTGGACGCAAATTATAGCGTTTAAAGTTGCGATGATTCTCCCACATTCAAACAAACAGAACAAAAACTTGATTAATTTTGACTGAAATGCTCGCATATGATCAAGTTTTATATGATCAATTATCATCTCGTCAGTGAGGTTCCCTATGTTTACACCGAGTGTGTGGCCAGCTTCAGTCAGCCATTTCCTGTTCCCGTCATAGTGCTGTTCTCACAATTTTGGAGGGTCACTGCGCAGAAAATGTCATACTGCGTTCAGACTTCCTTAGGAACGCATTAGAAGGAGAAAAGTTTGACAAAAGGATATATATTTCAAAGCCATGATTTCGTTTGTGCTTTTTTGCCTTGTATATTTGGTTAAACTCTTTGTGCATGCGTTATTAATTTAGAAAATAGTACATCAGTATGTATAAAGTTTGTACTCTCGGTTTTTTATGCTCTCTTGGCCTCGTTGTTGTATTTAACTGTGTCTCTAGACATCTTTTAATTATGGCGCAAGAGTTTGTTTACTGCGACATTGTCTTATTATCGTAAGAATCTTTTTGTATTAGAAGGGCTTATTTTGGATGAGCTATTCTCGTATGCGTCTGTTTCTTTCGTCTGTTCGATCTATGTAGGCAGCAGTATCATCAACAAGATCCATGTTGGCTAATCATTTTATGTCGTCCAGGGAGTCGTCCGGTTGTTCTTTTGCTCGGTCAAAAGTTCTTTTTTGGAGATCGAGCTCAAAATTTCGTCTCTGGTCAGGGCCAGCGTATCTTAAATTTGTCAAGAGCATTCTCGAGATCAATTTGTACAGCTTCAGCTAGACTGAGGTAGAACTTGAGGGCGATGCCGTCTAGGTGCAAATGCAAATATCGAGCTCGTTGACTTTGTGCACCCGGAATTCGTGCTACAATGATACTGGCGCGGAAAATCCTTGGAATTGGTTCCAGCTTTCGTTACATGTCCTGAGAATCTCTAATCGGAAACTTCAGATGAGTTTGGATCAGCCATTCTTGTTACTAAAGAGATCTGAAGGAAGAAATTTTTCTATTACTGCAGCGAGTGATTTTTCCTGTAAATTCGTTTGGCAATTCGGAACTTGATGGCTGTCAAGGTTTGAGTGAGTTCCTGGTTATGCTGAGATAGTTATCGTTTGTATGGCAATTGCTGAGGAAGGCGTAGAAAGGAGATAAACTAGGGACAGGAAAGAAGGCTGTGCTGAAACTGTACCAATATAAGATTTCAATTTTGATATCTTGACTTCTTCGATCAATAGCTTGTAGCTCAGCTATGCGGCCTTTGATAACAGTTGCACAGGTCTTATAACAACATAATGAAATGTTTGGTTAGATAGTTAAAGAGCACAATCATTTTCGCAAAGGTAGAGGATGTGTTTCTGGTAGCTCATTAGAAGAAAAATGAGGTATATCGGATTGGAGACGTCAAATTCGGTGATTTTGAGTAGAATTTGGAGTCATGAAAGTAGAATTCCGAGTTCGATTGCGGCAACTAGTGGTGATGTCAGAAATGTGGATAAGACAGGGATTGCTTGTTCCATTGAATGCAAAAGTCGATCCCTAATGTTGTTGCCTAATGATAATTCGATACTGAATGAAAAAGGAAGCGGGTGTCCACGTGATAATGTGTTGAATATTTTAATTCGTCGATGTAGTGATTGATAGTCTGTCTCTTGGTAAAATTTTGAATTGAGTGTAAAAGCTGAACCGTTGAGAGTTAGAGATAAAGGTGAGATAAGTCCGTTCTTTAAACGTTGAACGTCAGAAAAGTGAACAAGGCTTTAGTTTCCACGTGCTAGGATGGTTTTTCCCATTAAAAACTTTTGCAGAAGAAACGCGACCATCATTATTTATCTGTATTTTTTCTCGGTTCGTCTGAAGTGTTGTTTTCTGCAAGGTGAATAACAAATCTGTACTACAACTGGAGGATATTTAAGTGTTAACTCGACCATTAATATGGCCTTGTTTTACAACCAATCAGGGCGTTTTCAGGGGCTTGTGTTTATGAAAAAACTTTTATAAGGAATTTTAGCAAAAGAAACCCTAGATTCCAGATATAGACCAAAAAAGGATATGTTTGTGCTATTGCGTAGTATTTATGTGGTCCGCCGAAAAAGAATACATCAAACAACAGAAGTCAAGAGCCAGTAGAAGCTGTAACCTTAATTTCGAAAGGAACCCAGTAAGACTTGTAGAAGATACAACTCGACCGAGGGTGCCCTTATGTGTGCAAAAAGCCAGGCTCCACCACTGAAGCGGGAGAACTTCCCGACAATCCGTTCCCTCCATTGAACCTTGAACTTATATTTGGGAGGCCTCCGCTCATTAAAAAAAAACGAAAAACAAAACAGAAAAAGCGTCAAAATCTAACCTATAGCAATTCAGGTAAATGTGAAATCAATCAATTCATATAACTTTAACACAGACACAAAGCTGTCCCTCAATAAATTACATTTTTGACACAGGCAAGAAAAAACACTTGAAGCTAGCCCCCCAAAAAAGCTTGTGCGGAAAAAAAGAAGAAAAAGGTTTTTTTTATGCTTGTCTGGAATGCGAGTGATTTCAAAGAAAATTACTGAAACGCAATTGCCAGTGTTAGATAAGAATCAACAAAACAAACTTCAACGCTCGGATAATGAGCAGACAAGACTTGTGTAGCCGAATGTTGAGCCAAAAACGAATCACACAGTTGAGCCAAGACAACTGTTGAGCCAAAAAATTAGGTTGAGCCAACTGTCTTCGTAAGCACAATTGCAACTGTTGAGCCAACTGTCTTCGTAAGCACAATTGCAATAAAAATTCCTTTGAACGGCAAATTACGAGACAACTAAGCAGATATATGTCAACTTGAACCACTTTAGCAAAAAAATCAAAAAATTTAGGCTAAAGAAGAGAACCGAAAATAAGAATTGAGTTACAAGCAAAATAACAAAAACATATTTAACACGATAAATTTTTATGTTCCGATTTGCTAACGCTTGCTTATCGCAAGCGTAATAACTGGAGGAATCCAACTTCGAACCTGGAAATTATGAGTCTCATGTGATCGCATCTGCGAAATTAGCTCAAAAACATGCAAACGCTATAGTCGATATAACACTTAATAAATCTGATTGCTAGACTCCTCCAAACTAGGTTTCATAAACTTCAATTCAAAGCTGAGGAAAGGTTATTGAAAGACGGAGAACCCAGCTGTGCTCTCAGTGATAAAATATATAAGGAAATATCATCATCAAACCTGCCTCTTGTCCAATTAATCAAGGATGCATTCCCAATTAATTGCAAATCTGCCATCTGAGGCCCTACGCATTTCTAAAAGAAAGACCCAGGATACCAACAATTGTCCAATTGATAACAAAACTATCAACCTTACCCAAAACGACAAAAAAGAAGTTCGAACATAAAGTCATCTCAAGCAAACTATGGTTCGCCTTTAAATGGTATCAGGACAACTCGTTTGGAGATACCTGACAAGCCAAGCATTTTCGACGACACCCTGTGCTCAGAAGCAAAGCTAGGCGGGAATCGCTTAAACGAGCAGTTTGAAGTTCACCAAGAAAAAACGAACAAAGCAAAAAACAGTTATGCGCTATATCAGAACCAACTCACCGCTAATGGTACAGGAAGCCATCAAATAATCTAAAAAGAAAAAGGCCCTATTGCACCCATCCACTAACACGATTTCCGACCAAATGGCTCCAAATTTCAAAAAAAAAAACAAACATCCCTGTCAATACAGCTACAATAACCAAAAGGTAGAAATATCACTCAAAACTCTGCACCCCAACCAGATAAGGATCTAGAGAAATCGAAACGCTTCTACCATTTCACTCATATCGCTAATCGCCAAACTTGGAATCGTAGAAACAACTCTCTCACCTGAGCTATGTTTTAACACAAAATTAGCAGACCACCCACAAAATTTTACCGGGACTGCACTTAATTGTATCAGTCATCATATAACCGATGGACTGATTCATGAAAAATCATGCTAAAGAAGCCTTACTGCTGTGCTGGATCTTACAGCCACCTATCACTTATTAGTTGAATTAAGAGATGCAACACTTGGCATGAGAAAACTTAATCAAGGTGTACCACTTCAACCAATGTGTGCGCTCCAAACCTAAGCCAAGATAAACTGTTTAGCTATTCACTGTGAACTAACTTCAAGTGAACTACCACCTCACTCAACTAAATGAAAGGCAATAAAATAGGCACTCAAATGTATCTCTTGAAGAAAAATCTATGGCAATGTTTTTCATTTCTCAGTCTATCGAAGCAAAATACAAAACTAATTTTGATATTGGAGGGTACCGACTAAAAACATCATAACACCAAGATTTTACCTACGATAGCACGTTCACATTTGGAACTAATGCAACGAGTTCAGGCCAGAAATAAAATCCTCAAAAACTTGCAAGTGCCAAACAGCGCTGCCAAAAAGAAACACTAACCATCAGCTTTAAAGCAATCACTCGTAGAGCAATGAGCCATGCCGCACCCATCTGGTCTCGAAGTAAAAGCAAACCCAATCGGTCAAAACATTAAGTCAAACAAAACAGTGCTCTTAGAATTATAAATAGCTGTGTTAAAATGGCGAACATAGATCATCTACACGATGAAACCTTAACTCCGCGTGCGAGAGGAGAAGGAAAAGCTTGTCAAACAGTTCTTCCACGGAAGCCACCTTCCTAAGCCATCAGACCATAGAACCTAAGTCAAACAGCACACTAAAAGAAACACTGAAAAAAAAACGTGCGAAAAATTGCCGAACTCCTGTCAACGAATTCAGTTCTTACCACTAATCAAACCCAGGCCTCAAACATCTGCAAACAAAAAGTGAGATTTTACTGGGAACCACAACAGTATATTTTTGGGTATAAACAATCCTGGAGTGAAATTCGAAGAAGAAACTTACGTGAGGACAGGTGAACTTCCACAGCTCCTCAAATTCACCTCTCCTGAATAAATGTCTCAACAGGATTGACCCAAAAAAGGCTAATATAAGAATTGTTTGCAATCTAGGGCCGCATGACGGGCACCACATATTCAACCGCCCAGGCAGATCTTAGTATCCTCAATCTCTAGATTGACACCCTTCGTGTAGCTGAACACCTTCAGCTCACAGCACGAATGAGCGGGACAGCTAAATTACCATGAAAGAACTGATTAGATTGACAGAAGATGCTGACATGACATCAGCACAGCAAACGCGACATTAAATCAGACGAGTCCAGTGTTGAAACGACCTACACCACGCTAGTGGCATGACCCACCTATCCCGTCAGAGACCAATTACACTGAACTGAGGACGCGACGAAACTACTATAAACCGAAATGAATGAACTCAATTATTGTCAAGACTCCACGACGCTACAAAAACAACAAAATTGCTACCAAATTAGCATTTTTATTTGCGAGTTCGAATATCATATAGATGTTTCTTTCCAAAAAAGCGTTCAAAATTCAAAAAAGACCAAAAAAGCCACAATACTAATCCAGATTTAGAGACAGATTCACGTACTGAAGACATGGACTATACGTGGGTTCCAGCCCACTGCGGCATTGAAGGAAAAGCCGATAAACATGCAGAAGCTCGCAATTTTAACCTGTCGGAGGTTTAAATTTTCCTCAAATCAGCCAATTGAGCAGTCAAAAGAGCGCGGAAGAAGAAAGACGCGGGTTTGTATAAAGAGTACAATGAGTTGAATCGGAAAAGACAGTATAAATGGACAGGACAGGACACAGATCATGGGCTTCGTCACTCTGTTCTGGTACGCTACACAGAATGAAAGGAGAGTCACCTGACTGCCCGGATTGCGGGGAAGAAGACGGGTAGGTTCATGTACTAGAGACGTGCTCAAGAGGCAACCATGCAAGAATGGAAATAACCGGAAAAACAAACCCGATAGCTGATGATACTCTAAAAAACCCTAAGATGCTGTTGGCCCTCCTTAAAAAAAACGGGTCCGACGTATCATCATTAATATTGATAGAAAGTCTCCTGAATAGAAAGAAGCCACAATACTATACATATAAAACGATATAGTTGGTACTTCGAGAAAGGTAAATCGAGAAATAAGACGACGAAATCTCAACTGAAAACTACGAAAACAAAAATCAAGATTTCCAAAAATCAATAAGTACGTAATACTATACATAAAGTATACTTTTACAAATACTATACACTATACGCAACTCTTTAAGTACGAGCTGATTGATAGAAGCGACAAAAACGCCTAGAAGATCAGAAAACAACTGAACTGAACTGTAATAGTTCAGCTAAATGTTCTTAAGCTTTTTTGGTTAAATTTGTTGTTACAACCCCATTGTCACTAATGACTCCATTCTCGATCGCATTCTTACCTCAATTCCGCGGCCACATATCAACGCCATACTTCTTGATCATTCCAGACTTTTTAACATTCCCTGCCATTTGAAATGGCATTTTATAGTCTTTGGGTAATTTACCATTTTTTCCTTCTTATTTGTTGCTATCTCTATTTTAAAAATTGAATAACTACAGAGAAACAACCAGATATTACTTACATGATGGTTCCAAACTTCCGAAGCACGGCCATAACTTCGGCCTCAATGCAAGTACTCGGTAGACCTTGAAGCTGTATAACTCTTGAGGTTTTCATCTGATCTTCATTCTGCTCAAACTATAAAAATCGCAAGATTGAACAGCTTATTAAAATACGATATAAAATTTTCAAAATGATGATTACTTCTAGAGGCGTTGCAGTCCATTGATAGCTCGGATCTGTCTCGGCTTCGGTATAGTACCGTGACCTTTTTGGAGGTTCCGGTCCGTAGTCTGCGCGATACGAATATGCCATAATTACTCAATTTACTGATCTGAAAGTTCTTTTTTTGAGGTGAATAAATGTGAGTAAAAACAGTAAAAAACTACACTAGTAAAGCAAGCTTCCTATCAATCCTTTTATTTTTTTTTTCTTTCTTTTTTATTCAGAGGTAATCAGAAGGTTAAAAGTATCATAGTAACCGAGGTTACAGTCAGGAGTCCCTTCATCACGTATTCCAGTCAAAATCCTTGGAATTTTCTAGATATGGATGTGATAATAATAAAAGAAGATGACAAGTGTTTAAGTCCTTTTCAATTAAAATCGATACGTGTTACGTTTCTTCAATGAGATCACGCAACTCGACACGAGAAAACATAATATACAAATGTTACAAATAAAAAAATTTTGTCGAAAGTTATTTTGTCATTTATTGTTCCGAGTACGCAAGCGGCGTTCGCAATCTATATTGCCAGGGAGATTCTCGGTTTTAAAAAGCTGCCTGCTCTGGGTTCCTCAGTGCATATGCTTAGGTTCTTACAAAGCTTGCTCAACAAAAAAATTATGTGCTGTGGCCCTGAATTTCAAAAGCTAGCGGTTAAAAAAGATATCCATCATTTACAAGATCTTCATACTTGTCAATTTTTTGCTCTTCCGCTTCAGCGGCAGCCGTACCAAGGTTACAAACAGACCCGGCATTAATCCTACAAGGAGCTAAGGAGTCTACTACCGTTACATCCCACAAGAGCTACTAACCAACAGCCCATGGAACGAGCGTCAAACCGTCTGGTCGCTTCTGATCGGTCCTGTAGAGGTGTCGTGGTTCTAAAACAGACGGAATGTGAGTAGAGGATAAACTCTGCTTTATAAGGGCATTCAAGTTTGAATGCCTAGAGAATCTACCTGCACTTTTGTGGCAAGAAAGACCATGCCAACCATCCTCGGCAACGTTTTTTCGCACACGCATGTATGCCGTTCGCATACTTTGAGCCTAATCAAAGTCCTTTCGCAATTCTGAGTTGTTGGTTCGACAGTTTAAACCTTAAATTTTTGCACGGGATGACGTTCAACCATTGGGAGCCAAATCTATCTTGGAACTCGTTGAAGTTTTTTACGTCCGTTGATTCGATTCGTAAAATCAAGTCTGCAATTTCGCTGTCAAGAAATGGCTCCGTCCAATTTTTTTGGATTTTATTTTCCGGAGCCATTTCAATTTTTCCAAGTTCAAACCACCGTTTAAGCGCATCATCATAAGTTCCATCCACATGTTCCAAACCAAAGATTTCGCTCAAGGCATCTTTTGCTCCTACTGCTGAGGCTAAGAAAACGGGTAAAGCGAGTATACGAGCGGAAGAACCGCCCAAGTCACCTTTGGCTGCTGGGAGAACTGCTTGTAAAAACTGGTTATCATCCATTTTCACGTTGGTGACCTTGCATAACGAATTTCTTAGTAATTTGTCGTAGCGTTCCAAAAAATCATTTTGCAAAAAACAAGGGCTCGTACGCAAAAAATATAGGAGTTTTGGCATGCTAAAGCAGTTTTTCAGGAGGTAAAAACCATAATGGGCGTCTAGTTTGTCAATGACATCCGAGATTTTTTCAAGCTCCTTAATTTTTTGTCGAGCAATTTTTTTCGGCAAAGTTGGCCGATTGGAGATCCTAAAATGAGGAGTTCTTCTATTGTTCTTATTTATATTTTGGGGCATATTTTTCGAAATTGTGTTAAAATTGAATTATACTGTGTTCTAGTAGTCGGTCCCAAAAAGCAAAGTTCGCACTTCTCAGTGTTCAAGCTCAGGCAGTAAATTTGTTCCGATTTCCTAATGTTTTTAAGGTCCCGGAGTACTACCTTATAGTCGTCGGCTAAATTTCCATCATCTAAATACCAGATGTTAATTTTCGACTCCAACTGTTTGACTAGTGTATGAATTGTTTCCGCAAAAAGGGGTGGGGCTTCAGGATCACCTTGCTGAGTTCCGTCTCCTGACAATATGACAGAGCTTCCGTAAAAAAGGTAACTAGGTTTACCATACGCGCAATGGGTGGTGTAATTATACAATTTGGGGCGATTTGATACAAACATTATTCAGCATTGTTTCTCTATTTTAGAGAGTTAAAGGCATTCTTAAAATCTAGTTTTAAAAGAAAAGTGCATTTTGGATTGTCGTCGCGTTCAATTAGGTTTCGAAACGAGTGCGCAGCTGTTTCTGCTTCTCGTTTGGTACCGAATCCTACCTGTACGTTTCCGAAAAAATTTTGTCGCTCGGAGAGGGCCTTGCGTCCAGCGCATTTAGACGCGATACGTCTCAGCGTGTTGCCTATGGCAATTGGTCTCAACCCTCCGTCTATCGTTATGAAGGCGATAAGCTTTGCGCCAAAAAGGAAGGGTCTTAGGGGTTCGGGTATTTTGCCATCTCCAATGAGGTTTATCAGCTTAGTAAGCGATTTCAGAAAAATAAGTCCTGCACTGCCATTCGACCTATTAACAAAATCTTAACAAATTTGAGGAACTATATTATCAGGACCTGCTACTGATCCGTTCGGAAAAGACATTATCGCTTTGTATAGGTCGAAATCGGTTACAAAAAAAACTATCCAATTTTGTGGGTTTAGAGCTGCAAATTTGGCTCGCTGAGGGTGCTTAGACAACAACTTTTGATAGTTATCAGTTGAAAAAGGAGCAATTTTGTCATCCGAAGCAGCAAGCTTTAATCCTTTCTTTACATTTCCTTTGTCGAGCTCTATTTCCTTATTAGTTTTATTCTCTGCTCGAGGTCACTCAGAGGCGGGCTTGAAACTTGGGGATGGGGTTTTGGAAGTGACACGTCCTTTGCTCGAATTTTTTTATTTATCAAAGAGCTCATGCTTTTGGTCTGTTTGCGTCCACTTCTTTTCGGTTGCTCCAAAAAAAAACAAGAACGACGTTAAAAAAATTAGCCATTTTGTAACATCTTCTACCTTGTAGACGATGTCATTTATTTTGTCCGACAGACTTTCCGCCAAGGGAACACGCGAGTCTTTTGGTACTCTTTTGAGTACTCGGACATTTGAGACGGCTGTATTAACATAGTTGTCTAGCACTAAATCATTACCTATTGTTGCTTCATTAACGGATATTACATAAAGGACACTGAAACAATTGAGTGTCCTTTATGCGTTGATCAAATTGAAAAACAGATCAGACAAAGCTCACAGTCTCTTGGTGTCACCAGCGCAACATGTGTTTCCTTAGGATCAAACAAGAACTAAGTGTGATATGAGCTGAATTATAATCATAAGAATAATATTACTGAATTTAGGGCAAACGCCCAAGGGAATTACTCCCGAGTTTCAATTTTGCCAAAGATCATTTGAATTTGTGTTAATTTCTAAAGTTTAGACGGAGACATAACAGTCTCCAGGAGCAAATGTCGTCAAGAATAATTTTGGATTCGAAATAACTGTTATAAACTTCTGTTGATTGGCATTTTGGATGTTTTAGTTCGTCTAAATTTAGGCCTATTTTTTTCCCGATAGCGTTTGAAAGGAATACTTCGCTGGACCAGAAATCGCTATCTTGCTTTATTTTTGTCTTTTTTCAATTCGCTAGCTCGTGTGTTCAGCGGTGTTTCAATTATTTCGACAAACGGTTTCCACTCGATGTTAAATCTAACTTTGATTAGGTTAATAAAAACTAGAAGTACGTGCATTTCGTGGTGAAGTGCAAAAGACTTGCGCGTTCCCTTGGCGGAAAGTCTGTCGGACAAAAAAAATGACATCGTCTACAATGTAGAAGATGTTACAAAATGGCTATTTTTTTTAACGTCTTTCTTGTTTTTTTTGGAGCAGCCGAAAAAGAAGTGGACTCAAACAAACCACAACCATGAGCTCTTCGATGAACAAAACAATTTGAGCGAACTTCGTTTGGGTTCCGAAACCTCATCCCAAGATTCAAGCAGTCAATTCAATTCATTGATTTTTTTTCGGAATTGGAATTAAGAAATCTCACTAGGAATTGCAATTGAAGTTGCTTCATTTCCGAGTACAGGAGTTGGAAGTGACTACAAACTTTTATCAGCTCGGTTCTGAAATAAAACTTTTTAGTCTCTTCGACTGGGAAGGTCCTGAAATAAAAATTGTTGGTCTATCCGACAGACGCTTCTGAAATAAAATTTTTTGGTCTATCCGACTGAGGCGGTTCTGAAACAAATATGAAATATGAAATTTTCTGAGATGACCGGAATTTTTCATTTGGATTGGATTGTTGCCAAAGTCACTTCTAGAATTGAAATTGCAATTGGCCAAAATTGACTGGAATTGGGAATCGAGAATTGGAATTGGGATTGGAATTGAAAACCCTGGTTTCAAGCCAGCCTCTGAGTAAACTCGAGTAAAAAAAACAATAAGTAGTAAGCTCGATCAAGGAAATAGATAGCGAGGGATGAGGCTTGCTTGCTTCGGATGACGAAATTGCTCCTTTCTGAACCGATAACTATCAAACATTGTTGACTAAGCACCCTCAACGAGCCAAATTTTCAATTCTAAATCAAAAAAAATTGTAAATTTATTTCGTAACCGATCTCGATCTATACAATGCGATAACGTCCTTTTCGAACGAACCAGAATCAGGCCCAGATAAAATAGTTCTTCAAAATTTTAAAGAACTTGTTAGAAAATCAAATTGCAGTGCAGGACTCAAATTTCTGAGATCACTTACAAAGCTGATGAACCTGATTGGAGTTGGCAAAAAGCTGGATCATAATTTACCAATTCGTCCAGAATTATACAAATACACCCACTGCGCGTACAAAAAACTTAGTTAAAATTTTGACGGAAACTCTATTAAAATGTCAGAAGATGGAACTCAGCAAAGCAATCCTGAAGCCCTAACCGTTTTTGCAGAAACATACCAGACAGTAGTCAAACAGTTAGAGTCAAAAATTAATATCTGGTATTTGGATGATGGAAGTTGAGCCGACGACTACAAGGTCAGAACAAATCAGAACAAACATGCGGCGTGGGCTTGAACAAGGAAAAGTGCGAATTTTGTTTTATTGGGATCGAGCACGAGTACGCATTACAACT